CTGTGTATGAGATACAAAAGAAGAAGTTGGTTAATTTGCTTAAGAGTATTAACAAGATTAGTTTAACAACTGATCTATGGAATTCTTCTAATTAGAAGCTTGAGTACATGGTTCTTACCGAACATTTTATTGATAATGATTGGAAGTTGCAGAAGCTTGTGCTTAATTTTGTTTGTTTACCTCCTCCTCGACCTGATATTGAGATTATTGTTGTTATACATAAGTGTCTAATGGAATGGGGAATTGAGAACAAGGTGTTTAGTATCTTGGTTGACAACGCTTCAAGTAATGATGCGGCAATCAAGATTTTAAGGGAGAATTTAGGAAGAGACAAGAAGCTAATGTGTGGTGGGAGGTTGTTTCATGTGCGGTGCACGGCACACATATTGAATCTCACGGTTCAGGATGGGCTTTCCCAAATTAAGCCTATCATTCAAGACATACGTGACTATATTTTGTACTTCAAGCAATCAGATACTAGAGTAGTTAAGTTTTCAGAGATTGTTCAGATGTTTGTAGTTGTTTAAGTGGAAACTCATACTTGATTGCAAAATGAGGTGGAATTCTACTTATGAGATGTTGGCACTTGTAATTTAGTACAAATAGGTGTTTCCAATGGTAGTTCAGTTGGATAATAACTTTACTTGTGCGCCAATAGATGAAGATTGGGAAAAACTTGAGAAAGTGTGTGAGATTTTGGAAGCCTTCAACTGGGCAACTAATGTCATATCAGGGAGTGAGTACCCCACTTCGAACTTATTTTTGCAAGAAATTTGTGACATAAAAGGGTTGCTAGATGAAAAGTGTTCTGGTGATGATGATTTCATTCGGTCAATGGTGGGAAAGATGAAAGAAAAGTTTGACAACTATTGGAGGAAATGCAATTTCTTAATGGCAATTGCAGTTGTATTGGATCCGAGGATGAAAATAAGGCTGCTGCAATTTGCCTACCCACAATTGTTTCCTAATGAAGAAGCACAAGAGAAAATTGATGAAGTGCGAGCTACATTGTATGAGATTAATGAGTAATATGCAGCAGAAAGTCAATCTTCCAGCAGTGAACCACCTGTAGAAATTAGTAAAGTTTAGCGGAAGAATGTACAACGCCCTAAACGTACTAGTTCACGTTCAGTCAGTTTGTTAAGACAACTCAAACGATGCAACATGAGAAATCTGAGTTAGATTATTATCTAGAGGAGGGGTGTTTGTTATGGGACGAGGATGATACCTCATTTGATGCGTTAAAGTGGTAGAAGGTAAATCAAATGAACTATCGCATTCCATCTACGATGGCTCGTGAAATACTTGTCATTCCAATCACCACGATCCCTTCGAAGGCAACTTTTAGTGTAGGGAGTCGAGTTATTGACACTTATCGATCATTGTTGTCTCTCGATACCGTGCAAGTGCTACTCTATGGTGGTGATTGGTGTCACAATCTGTATGGAGTCAAGAAAAGTTACAAAGTACGTTTCATGCTTCTATACTCCAATTTATTAAAATTATGTATTAATTTGGTCATTTATTAACATTATTGAAACTAAAAAAAATTGTTTTCCTTTTTGTTGTTTAGAAAGAGAAGACAAATGAGCAGTTTCAGCTTCCGATCCTATGAAGTTTTGGTGGAATCTTGACAGGTTAGCGATAATAAATGTTAAACTTTTATGAGAAATAAATTAAACCACTTAAGTATATAGAGCAAGTTGAGCACCATTTGTCATATATATTGTTTAAGAGTTCACATGCTGCCTCTCTAAACAACAATTGTAGAAGTTGCTACCTCATCTAACTAATTAATTCCCATTAGAAAACCAACCCAAAGCATACCCGTGACTATTAACATACCATAGAAATGCCAATTTCTGCCACCTCTTTCTTTCACTAGTTGCATAATTAGTTTTTGTTTGTTGTTTCTTGGAAATGAGTTGGAGTCTGGTGAGTGAAGAGATGGATGTGGCAGGGGGGTGGGGGTGGCTAAATAGGAAAAAAAAATTAATGGTTATAAATTGCATGGAAATTAGTTAAAGGTGAGTGCCTTATGCATATAATTATGAAAAGTTAATGGTTATAAATTGCTTGGTTTGCTACTGCCAAATGGTTCTCATTTTTTTTTTTTTTTTTTTTTCTATTTGGTAGCCAAGTGGAACTACAATATCTTTGGTTGCTGGTATATCCATTGATGCAAGAGAAGAGAAGGTTCGTGGGTTAGGTGGGTGCAAGAGAAGAGAAGTTGCCAATCTTGTTGCTTGTTAATATGATTCGGCAGAAGAACTTAGTACTCGTATAGGATTCTTTTTGTTTCCCATGGACTTAATTCCATATGCTTAATGTTTGCTTGTATTTTGTGTTTTGCTTTTGATATTGTTTTTGGATGAAGGATTGTTAAATTTATAGATGCTGTTTTGCTTTGGATTTTTTTTTTTTTTTTTTAATGAAGGTTTGTTGAATTTAGAACTTCATCAATGCTTTGAATGTTGTTTTTTAGATGCAGGTTTCCCTGGGATCAAGTGGTTGACTCATTTTCCTAGTTTGAATTCTATGATTTTTGTGAAAATGATTAAATTGAAGTTGAATTTCTTTTGCTTAGTTGATTTGTAGAATTTTAGTCCAAGTGTTTCATAATTTGGCTGAGTTAACAGAAGACAACAACCTATTTTGTGAAGCAGGTGTGTTGTAACCGAGCTTGGCTCGAATTTGGTTCTGCTCGGCTCCTCAAGTTTCGAATCAAGCCAAGCTCGAGCCCCGCAATTTATTATACAAGCCTGAGCTCGAGGCGACTCCCAACCTCAACGAATCATGCTCGAGCCAGCCACTACTTTGCTCGACTCGATTCATATGCACCCATAGGCACGAGCAACTTCTAATAGATGTTGATGTTTTCTTTCTACTACCCTATTCTGTTGAGGGGTATAAGTGAAAGATGTCTCGTGAAGAATACTAAGAAACAGCAAAAGAGAAAAACATTGAAGGTTAAAGAAATCACGAGCATTATCGGTCTGAACCCATTGGACTGATGATTTAAATTGGGTATTGACCATAGACAAAAAATTCTTAATATGTGTAAGGGTTTGAGTTTTGGACTGCATAAGAAATACCCATATCCCACAAGAGAAACGTCAACTACGGTGAAAATAAAACGGGAGCCATCATGATTAAGGGTATGATAAGGGCCCTAAATGTCAAGATGGATTAGGGCAAATAAACATGTAGTGGTGGATGTACTATTTGGGAAAGTTATACAGAATTGTTTGGCAAGAGGGCAAATGAGACATTTTAGATAGAGGAATAGATGCATTGTGATCCAATCTTTGGTGGAGAATGAAAGATTTTCTATTAACGATTGTATTACAATGTGAATTTTTATTATTTATGTATATTATATTGAGATGTTGTATAGTTTTTACATAGTTGTATTTATACAAAAATGTAATTACAGGAAAGGCAATATAATCATTTAATAGAAGAAAATTAGGACTGATTGAAAGGATGAAAATAGGAGAAAATCAGGGATGATTGATTGTAATTAAAATGAGGGAATCATGGCTTGATTACACCAGCATTCCACATTTCATTAGATTAAATGTCTAGGGAGTGGAAGGTGAACCATTGTGGCTGTGAGTGTGTTGGTTGTTGGGTGGTGGCAATGGGGTTGGGGTAGTGGTAGGGTTGGAGGCTACTAGGAAGTTGGATATGGGTGGGAATGAGGGTTTTTTTTTTTTTTTTTTTTAAATTATAATTTTTACATTTTATTGAACAATTTTATAATTATATTAATTTTTTATTTATAAAATAAATTATGATTTATAGTCTTTTAAGTTCATTTGATCTTGAAAGATCATTTTACCCTTCTTTTTAAACTGAGTTTGGATGGCATTTGGTCCTCACAGGGTGATTGATTATTTTCTAAAAATTNCTAATTTGAAGCCCAAATCTTCAATAATCTTCTCCTTCCATGAGCTGCCTCCCAAATGACAAACCAAGACTCTTTTTCTTTCCTTTTCGCTCTAATTTATACCTCTTTCACTTAAGGACCAAGCCCTACCAAGTCAAAACGCGTCGTTTTATTTTTACATCTAATGCAAGTTTCGCAGCGGCGAAGCTTTTTCCTCGCCGCGGTGAAGACTTTCAGGCCAAATTTGAGCATGATAGAGTCTGAATATTAAGAAGTGTTAAACATATGAATTGTAGCCCTTTAAATCATATTTCTACTCGTTCAATAATAAGCATAATCTAAGGTCTACAGCTCAAGTTATGGTAAAAATACTGAAGCACGTCCAAAGACGTTTTTCTTCAGTTCCCAGCGTATTGTTCACGACTTCAAGCCAAGTTTTCACCCTTGTCCAGTCATAATTAGGAAAAATCCAAAACATGAAAGTTATAGCTCTTCTCCTTAGCTTGCCAAAGCTTCTAAATTCAGGTCATTCCGAGTTTCCAAGCTCAAGTTAGACAATTTACGCTCAAGACTGTCATTTATGCTAAAAATCATCGTTTAGGCCTGCCAAGACAAATTAATAGAATTAGGTAGCAATTATGGCCCAACTTGTATGAAAAGTATCCTACATCTTTTCAAAATTCAATGCAAAATCATAGTATAAAATATGATTATCAACAACAAGACTCCTTTTGAAGCCTGGTATGGTGTCAAGCCAAATGTGGATCACTTGAAGGTATTTGGAAGTGTGTGCTATGATTTTGTTCCAGTAAACAAAAGGAGCAAATTGGATGAGAAGGCTAAAGTAGGCATCATGATTGGATATAGTAGCCAGTCTAAAGCCTACAGAATTTACAATCCAAGCACCAAGAGGATTGCGATTAGTAGGGATATCAAGGTAGATGAAAGAGCTACTTGGAATTAGGAAAAAAAGCAAGTTGAGAGAAGGACCAGCATCCAACATAACACAGATCCAGAAAATTAGAATGCAGAATTGAATCTAGAAGAAGTGGATGAAATACCAGTCCAGGGTACCAAGTCTCTACATGACATATATGAGAGGTGTAATATGCATGAACTAGAGCCTACAAGTTATGCTGAAGCTGTAAAATCTGAGGCCTGGAAGGCTGCAATGCAGGAGGAGATGAATGTGATTGAGAAAAATCAAACTTGGGAGCTGGTTGATAGGCCACTTGACAAGAGAGTAATACAAGTTAAATGGATATTCAAAAGGAAGCTGAATTCTGATGGATTAGTGAACAAACTCAAAGCTAGGCTGGTTTTTAAAGGCTTTGCACAGCAATTTAGGGTAGATTTTTCAGAAACCTTTGCACCTGTTGCAAGGCATGACACCATTCGGCTTCTCCTTGCAGTGACAGCTCAATTCAAGTGGAAAATCTTCCAACTTGATGTGAAGTCTGCATTCCTAAATGGATGGCTTGATGAGGAAATCTACATTGAGCACTCATGAATCTCAATCGGATATGCATTCAACGCACAACCGACGAAGTCCGACCTTGATATCAAATCGAGCAATAGTCTTCGAAGCTCAAAACGAGCACCAAACACTAGGGGCAGATGTTGTGCATGATTTTTTCATCAAGCTCGAATAATTGTGAGGTTATATGTAATACCTTGTATTTTTTTGTATGAAATTTCATTAAATTTTATTCTGTGATTTTGTGGGGTAAAGTGTAAGAATTTGAAAGTTCTAAGGGAGTATAATTTAATAGCTGAAACAAGTGGAGACTAAATTGAAATTTTCTAGATATTTTGATGAACAGTGATCATTCAAAGAAGAGAAAAAGGGAGAAGAATAAAGAAAGGGGGGAAAAAGAAAAGAGAAAAGGAAGAGGAGAAAGAGGAGAAAAGAATGAGAAGAAGAAAAGAAAAGAGATGAAAAGGAAGTTTGGCCAAGAAGGAGAGAGAGAGAGAAGAGTAGAGAGTGATGGTGGTGGCTGAAAGTGGGGCCGTCAGTGAGCAAATTCTGGTGATCAGAAAGAGCAAAGGGAGATTGAACAAATGGGAGGTGAGTAAAGCTTGATATTTCCCTTTTTTTTTTTTTTTTTTTTTTGGTGATTTAGGATTCAATTGATTTAAATAACTCTCTTTGGATTGTTTTGTCTATGATTTGGTATAAATGCATGAAATTACACTAAAATGGGAAGATTGAGTTCAATAATGTTATGTGCGTAGATCATATATGTGTTTCCTAAACAAAATTCGGTTAGAGATGCGATTTTGATATAAGGGTTCACTATGCAGAAATCTGACCATTTGGAATTCCAAAAATTGTTTGTATGTTTTGGGTTTTTTTTTTTTTTAAGCTGAATTTCAGATATGTTGTTTTAGACTTCTTGAGGAGTGTTTGATAATTTATTTCACTCAAAAACTCGAAGAATTGAATTTTATATGGATTTTTGAAATTGCCTTGTGAATTCCGGAATTTTCATTTTCTGCAGAACATGTATTTTGGAAAAGGATTTGATGCGCCTATTCTTTTCCAAATTGAGTGATTTTAAATTCTGGTGAATTCTATATGTGTCTAGTTTAATTATGGAGAGTTTTGTGAGGTTTTTATTAATGTTTAAATTTTTAGGAATTTTACAAGTCAGTAACCTCAATTCTGGAAACAGTTGGCAGATTTGAATGAGTTAAAAGAAAATTGTGTTTTAAATAGTTATTTATTCTGGAATGACTTGAGAAAATTATGGGAACAAATTATGTGTCTCTCGAATGCCCCATTAAAATTATGGCTTAAAATTATGAATGGAAGTTTTATGAAAAATCTGAGACCAACCAATGTTCAGTTATGAGGCAGTTTTGTTAAAGAAGAAGTTAGGTTAATCTTTTGGCGTGTGAAGTGTCCAATGATTTTAATACTGAGGTGTTACCTTAGAGGGACTTATTTATGGAGGACTTATTTGATTTTGTATATAGAGAGGCAAGCGGGGGCATTGTTAGAGGATTTCAATCTTTTTTCAGCTTAAGGATTGAGCTCCAAAATGGTGAGTGGAAAAATCTAAAACCCTAACTTTCATTTCAATAAAAGTTATCTCTAAATGCTTATTTATACTTTTTTTATTGTTTAAAATTGCCTAAGATGTTTGAATTCCTTATAGAGATGAGCTTTATTTCAATGTTATTGTTGGAAATTGTTGATTGACATGAGAAAGATGGAATTTTGATGCTTTTGGGCAATAGCTTGAAAAGAAATGAAAATAGATTGAAATTGTTAGATTTGAAAACTTTTGAGAACAGGCATTTACATTTTTTACATTACATGAGATGTTATGAAATTATTATATGCTTATGAAAAAATGTTTTGAGAATAAGTATGAGATGTTAGTGACTTTCAAACCACCCTACATAGTACCCATCCCCCTCATGGTATTGACTTGATTCTACGCATGCGTATGATTGGTCATATTGCCGGTCCATGTGGGTCAAAGGCTCGAGTGAGGTAGATACCACTACAAATGATTTGATATTGCCAGCCCAAGTGGGTTGAAGGCCCGAGCGAAGCAGATATCGTACACAGGATCTAATTTTTGCCGGCCCAAGTGGGTCGAAGGACCAAATGAGGCAGATATCGCTACACATGATTTGATATTGTCGGCCCAAGTGGGTCGAAGGCCTAAGTGAGGTAGATATCGCTACATAGGATCTGATTTTGCCGGCCCAAGTGGGTCGAAGGCCTGAGTGAAGCAGATATCGCTACACAAGATCTGATTTTGCCAACCCAAGGGGGTCGAAGGCCCGAGCGAGGCAGATATCGCTACACATAATTTGATTTTGTTGGCCCAAGTGGGTTGAAGGCCCGAGCGAGGTAGATATCGCTAGATGATTTGATTGTGTCGGCCCATGTGATTTATGGTCTCGCTAGATCGAAGGCTTGAGCGGTGACCGATTCTACCTAGCAAGATGGATTTAGTGGCTCAAGTCGCACGATGTTAGATCTTGCCAGGTTGGACGGATTTACCCTTGGGTACTAGGTGGGTGAGAGTTTTCACATGTGATTGAGAGATGGTTTGGATATATGTTTGTATATCATGTATTTGAAATGGAAATTTATAAATGGAAATGTTATCTGTATATGAAATTTTTTAGAAATTATATTTTTAGAGAAACATGAGTATTGATTTGTTTACCATAAAAGTTTTCAGAAAGAAGTTTGGCAATGAGAGATTTCACCATTGGTTATGAAAGATGGTTTATATTATAAAATGTGTTTATGGAAACGAGATTCTATAAGCATGAATGCTTTATTGTATATTGAAATGTTTTATTGCATACTAACCCGTTCCCCACTCATTGAGCATTTTTAGCTCACCCCTCGTTTTCAAATGTTTTTCTTTCCCCCCACCAAGTCAAGAAGGAGATCGTGCAAAGGAGTGAATCCCACTTAAGGTTGGGCCACACAACTCCATTTTATCATATGTTCCATAGTTGTGTTTTTTTTTCCACTGCAAAGTTTATGTTTCTTCATCATGTATTTATTTAATGTTATGGATTGTAGAAATATGGAAAAATCTGATCTCATACATTTCATTTTGTAAAAATTCAGTTGCATTTGTTTATTTGCAAATGATGTTATATTTACTTGTGAGAAATAAAAAAGAAAAGACAATTCTTATAAATGTTTTAGTTTGAAGAGTTCTATGACGTTTTAATTCATAAACAGGTTTCATAGTTTTTCCACATGGCATGTCTTGATCACCCGAGTCTCATAGGTGTGCTTGGAGCTTATGGGATAGGGAGGGTCGGGACGGTGTTAGTAAACGGTCCAGATACGCAGCGGAAACGAAAAATAAATAACAGGATCGTTACACATGAGCCAAGATCAAGGGTATGATTTTTAACAATTATTATTAAATAAAATCTGCATAAATATACAACATGAGTTAAGAGAAACAAACGCACGTTGAAGGCTCCTCCAAATTTGTCGTCGAACGTTTTGCTACCGATCCAAGTGTAGGACGAACCTGCGTAGTCCACACGAAGACAATCTCAAAAGACAAAGAGGGATTTGCTGATCCTCTTTGGCTTCAAGAGTTAAGAAGAAAAACAAAAATCAATTGAATTGATTTTTAGGCTCTTGGTGTTACTGCCGTGGGAGAGGCAAAATTGGGGCTGCTGTGTTTGTTTTCAAAAGGAGAAAAACCCTTAGTTAAAAAATCACACACTTTTCCTTTATACTTAAAAACAATTTGCCCTAATCCCATACGAATAGGCTGGGCTCCAACCCAAAAGCCCCATGTTGCCAAACACTCCCAATTTGATTTATTTTAATTTCCATCATTATCAATAAAATCAATTAATATATATATTAAATATATATTATTAAATTTAACAATAATGATAATATATTTAAATAGTGTGAACACATATTTAAACGTAATTTCACTATTTAATTTTTCTAACAAATTAAATAAGGCTACGACTCAGAAATTTAATTGCACTGTGAATTACCAAAATACCCTTTCGCCTTAAAAGACGAAAACGCCCTTCTTTCTTCTTGCATCTTAAATTGTCTTCTATGTGTGTGACCTTAGGCTCCTCATATACGGCAGTGTACATATTGCGATTAACACACTTAATCATCTCACTAATACACAGACCAAGATTGGCCCTAGCAAGGCATCATGGCCACCCGATAGATTCGGTGTCAGCAAAGTAGCTACCTGTCATGACTGGTTACCGTGCAATTCGACTCTTTCATCATTCGTTATCTCGACGAGACGAAGGCATAGAAATAGTGTCAACCTTCGGTTACTCTCGATATTATATTCAGTTTTCTGACCAATGAGTATTATAAACTGGATAGAGCAACAAACTCAATCCCACTGTGGCCACAGTTTTAGTGTCATTGCCATTTACTGAATTGCGCGTGAGTAAACTTTCTCCCGTACCCGGGAGTGATAAATCCTCTGTCAATCCACCATAGTCTTGATACACTTCTTGATGAGCCAATCACCACCGTATTGACAGCTCTGAAAAGAAACTGCGTTAGGCTAGTGCAAACTACACCAATCGGTGCACAGGCACTCCGGTGATCTCAAGTCTAAGGACAATGCCACCACCATTGTTAGAGGATTTGTTCATAGACACTGGGGTTACCATCCATAGGAATCCTCTGGTGGGTCAGTCAGTGAACTTGCTGTGGTGTAATCGCCTACAACAAACACCCATGTGTTGCACCAGGTTGTCACCAAACAACCTTGACAAGTGAGATCAGTACTGCCTCGACAGGGTCGTTCAACACTAGATAGCCTTACCGTATTACTGTGCCCTTAGTTCAGAATAATACTGGGGCTACGGACGTTTCTAGAATGGCCACCATAGTGCTCATAGGGTTCTCACTATCAAGATTTGAAACACTTGATACCTCGGCACGGCTCTACCATTCTAAGGACATATATCAAACATATTACAATAATAATGATTTACGCGATATAATAAAATGCCTTT